TAAGTCATTTACAAGTAGTAACGATGTGTCTTACCATATTTATGTAATGACCTGTGAAACTTTCATGTATTTTAAAACACAAAAAAATCATACAGGTTTGTTTCTCTAACTAGGCTAAACATAACAAAACAAAACAAAACAGCGTATCTTAATACATGTTTTTGTATTAATTCTGTAAAATGGCTGATAGAAACCTGCTGCTAGTCCATTTGCTTACATAATTTTCTGTACAAAGACAGCAGTGTGATAAAAGTTTTTTTGTTTAAGAACTGCAATACAAGCACTAACAAAGTAGTGCAGCTTCTGTTTTCCTGTCAGCAATAGTCACTGAGTGGTGTTACTTTCACTTATCAAATACATCTTTGTGATACTGTGATATGCAAGATTTTGTATTACACAAATTCTTGGGACAATCTTTGTACTATTAAATGCCATATACAGATCTAAACATTGACATTTCCAAACCCATTCTTTAAGAAGTTTTGATCATTCTAACATAATATTGTGTGTAATTATGACGAAAAAGAAAACAGTGGAAATAATAGGGAGGATAACACATTGTAATTAATAATGATTTCTAATTAAGTCTTATTTTTATTTTTGAAATTAATACAATCCATTATAGGTTTGTGATTTATTTGCTAGAACTGAAGAAAATCTATAGGACAATATTTGCAGCAAATTTACAAATGCTATATAGCAATCATTTATGAAAAAACAAATTCTGGAAGAAATCAGATGGCAGCCTGATCCCATCACACATCACAGGCATGAACTGGCAGCAGCATTCAGAGGTTTACTGTCTCCTTCACAAAGGGAACGCTTTTTCAATAATTTTCATTTTGTCTTGAGTTTAAACTACTACTATTACCCTGAATCTGCAGTTTACACTCGTCACTCCTCTGCTGCTTACCTCATGAGCTGAACTCTTATCTTTTAGGATTTGTGAATCTACTATACTGAATATTCGACAACCTACCCCTGGTTCCTTGGGTACTTGATCTTTTCCTAATCCATCTCTTTCCTAGGTGCTTTTCCTAATCCATCTCTTATTTCCTAACCTGTTTCACTGTTAGTGACTGTCTGAATGGTAGTAGTTCTCTTTAATCTTTTTAATTGTACCTACTTTCTTTTATTCACAGATAGACCTAAAGTAATTCTCCACATCCATCTGAATTCACCTGATTACTTGCTCCTATATAAAGTTTTTGATACTACTTAGTCTTTGTGGCTGCATTGCCTGTTTCTAGTTTAATAGCACCATTCTTGTACAGCTCCACTAACATGCTTTTAAGTGGAATAAGATGGTGATAACCAGGTCATCACTTGCCATTTGCAAAGCACAATGAAAATAATGAATAAATAATAAAAAGCTTTTCACCTGAAAGAGGGATGGGTCACTGAGCAAATGATGGCATGTATGTTGCACATGTAGGAGACTTTTGGAGTCATTTAGTGAGAAGAAATACAAAATAGCACTCTACAATGCAGACTTAATTCTTTCTAAAAGATGTATGCATAGCCGTGTTTAACTTACTTAAATATAGTATAATGATTGAGGACCCTTTGTTGAATCTTAAAAGAGCTTTTATTTCTTAATACTAAACTATAATTAAATCAAATCAAGGTGTGGAACTTGGTATTTTTTTGGTGTGTGTTGACACTGTAAGGCATTTTGTGCCTGCAAGCCTGTAACATATTCCCTTGATGTCAGGAGAGATGCTGTCATCTATCTTGAATCCAGCTGTATACATATAATTGCAGCTGTAGTGAATTGTAAAAGAATTGTTTTTTAGCAGAAAAAATTGAACTTATATTTGTCTCCTACTTTTGGTGGCCTGAATTGTTAGCTCTGACTTTTAAGCACAGAGAAATTAAGGGTTTCCTTTGTGCTGTTTCTACTGCACATTAAACATCAATAGGGATCATCTTCAAAATTTAGTAGAGATTGTTCCAACTTTCTGCATGATACCACAAAAATAAAAATCTGGCAGTGTTTTTTAAACAAGTTTTTGAAGTTTTATTGGATAAAAATATTTTTTCAGTTGACTTGACAACCATGTATAATGTTAGTGGGGTTTATTTGACCAAAGCTCTTTTTCAAAATACTTTTAAACTGAGATTATTAAAATACAGTTTAATTTCATAGTGTGAGTTGAAATATTGCTAATATTTGAGTTAGGGAATGCATTCCATAGGATGTTTCCTACTTTCATATTTTATCTGCCATATATAGACTTTAACCAGGATTTATATATCATTGAAAAAAATAACACTTCTGTTCTTAAAAAAGAATTATTTATCTCTATAGAGATATCATCTACTACTTTGAAGTACAGCACTCTTTGTTAATTATGTTTTTTCAGACTGTTACAAAGTTTTCCTCATTACATACTTTTACATGGTCTTGGAGTTGATACTAGGTCAGATAAAAGTATGCAGTCATTACCATACTATCGAAGAGATCAACAGTACATATTGAGGAAAAGATATCTTAAGAACTTTTAAGAGCAGGTTCTGTTGCTACTTTAGCATCGTTCTCGTGTATTGCCTTGCAATTTAATTACTTCAAATTAGCATAATGACCTGTACTTTCTTTTTGAAGTAGCTGTCCATTCTGATAGTCAAAGACTTTTTGATATTGATCTTCACTATTTGCTGTATATTTTGTTATGTGTACTTAATTTGGAGGTGGAAGCATATTGAAGAATGAACTCTGTTGGATTAGTGCGGATACTTTGAACTACATTTGAATGTCAAAGCAGATTAGAAATGCTATGAAAGAATAGCATTTGAAGTATTGGAAGACGGTTGAAATTAGATTTTTTTGTTAGCCTTTAATGTTGCTGATATACACAGTTGTTATAAGTACAATTGTTACCACTTCAAAGATAGCTTTGTCCTCAGAATTCATGTACTCATTGACTACACAGAACGCTTCTTTGGTAGTATATTGGAAAAAAGGGTTGCACTGATGTTTGTATGTGAAGTTGACTGGTAAAACTGTTTTTTTTGAAACAGGAAAGGTCTTGGTTAAGCTCAGCACACATTTTTCTGGGTGATTTTAAGGACTAGTTTATGACAAAGTCTGGCTTCAGGAATTGCTCTTCAGAGTGGGTGGGAAATAATAGTAATTTGAAATTATGTTTGGGTTTGGTTTTTTTAAATTTTTAAAAATATTTTAAACAACATATGTGTTAATTTCCACTTAGTGTAAATGGAGACATCAATTCAATAATTCTGTAATAAATTGTATCAACAAAATTATATGTACTTCTATGTTATAAATTTCAAATCATAGTGTATATATGATACTGATAACTGAGCAGGTTTGCAGTAAGGAAGTATATAACTTGAAGCACTGTAAGCAAAATCTATTTCTTGTTCAGTCAGCAAAGTAAAACCTCATCAGATTTTCTGTGTCTTCTTCCTTAGTTCTTATGGATATAACTCTTCAGATAAGGATGTCTCAAATTCTGTTTGTGAGGCATGTAAAAAGAATGCAAGAATAGTGCAAAGGCACTTTCGTGTAGTTGCTTTGTCCCATTCAGGTCATTCAGGAAAAGACAGAAGCTGGGATGAGAGTCAGACAGATGTATTTACCTCGGTTAGACTGTTTATGGCTAATAAAATCACCCACTTCAAGCAGACACAGTTGTTCCAGTGCTTAGATTGTGGAGCATACACATCACTGTAAGAGGCTGAGCACTCTGATAAGCAAGATAAAGCTCTACATGGCATTTAAAGTAATTTCATTAGTAAACACAAGGTCATGCAGGCTTGCAAAATGATATAAAATTTGATCTAATGATGAGGTCATGCAGGCTTGCAAAATGATATAAAATTTGATCTAATGATGAGGAGGGTTTGGGATAGTGGGGAAAAAAGTGATCCGGTGTTGTCAGTGATGGGTGGCAGGCCCTTTTTGCCCTTTGGCACTGCAGTCTGGTGACATATCGAGAAGGAATGATGTACTCTAGTTTTTCTATAAAAGCAGCAAACTTCTGCCATCTTTGCAGTCTCTAACCAATTTGACTGCTCTTTGGCTGAAGGAATCAGCAAGAGGTATAAAGCTTTAATCACCCTAAAGTTTTGCTTTTCTGCAGTACAGACGAGGGCTGCAAAATTCCAGCACCATTTTGAATCCAATGCTCTGGACAGTAGTCCCATGCTCATTTAAGAACCTTGAGAATAAGCCAAGAGTATTTCATTTATTTACCTTAATGCCAGTCAAGCATGTATCCACTTCACTAATTTTGGAAACTTCATTTTGATTGAAGTCTGTCTTCTTCTTCTGTGTTTACTAGTTGTGAATGAGAATCACAATGAGTCTTCATTTCAGTTTAAGTAGCAGCTTCAAGCTAATTTTTAGCAGAAATTTTAATTGCTGTGAGAACTCACTGGGATGCATATGGATGCAGAGTCTTAAAAATCAAAATCCATTGAGTGGCTTCAACAGTGTTATTTCTAGTAGTAGTCATTGAAAAGACGTTTAGGTGATTTTTCTTTAGATAAAATAATTATACATTAAAGTACTAAGCATTTTACTATTCTATAAAATGTTAACAAATGGAAGTTTTGGAATTAAGATAGAATCACTGCCAAAGTATCGAATGACTCACTGATGTAAAAAAGTAAATTTCCAGTATTTTTGTTGCCCTTTAATGAGAGAGGTACAGTTTATTAAACCTGAAGAAGTTGTGCATTTCTGAACATTCAAAAAGTTGTCCAAAGTGTATGTTGAACAGCTCATTAGAAAATAGTTTTCCCATCAAATGAATGAGGCTTCAGTTTCACCTTACGTTATAGAAGTGTCCTCCACACACAGTTCCGTGAACTTCTGTGAAAGATATCCTGGAAAAACATCAGAAGAGATTTCTTACATGTAATATACGTGAGTTTTTCATAAGCGCTTGCAAGAGTTTTAACTTACAAACGTTTTGAAAACAACTTGTTATTTTGTGTGCTTTGGTTTATTTTTAATAACTCCAAAATTCAGCATGGGGATAAACCACGACAATGACCACCCATCCTGTGCAGATGGTCTTCATATCATGTCTGGGGAGTGGATTAAAGGACAGAATCTTGGGGATGTTTCATGGTCTCGGTGCAGCAGGGAAGATCTGGAAAGATTTCTCAGGTATATCATTCAAGAAAAAGAGCTCTTACTGTATGTCATTTACAGATAGTAGCAAGAAATATAATGAAGTAACAAGTTTTCAATATTTTTACCACTTCTGTGGGAGATATCTGTTTGTATAAACCATTAAAATAATTTAAATTGTCATGAACTGTATAATATTTGACAGATTGATTAAAATCGGATTTCAACAATTAATTGTATATTTATATTTGCATGTGTTAATATTACACTTATATATATTATATACATTTATATACATGTAAATATGTGTAAAGTATATTAATATCCTATATATTGAAGAATGTTGGATAGTGAACATGAACATTATGTAGATTCTCTGATCTATGTTGTGCTGTTTAATATCGAACCATGCAGTATAATTACATTATTTCAATTTTTAATAGAAATTTTCTATGAAATATTTACTTGAGAATAGTATACCCAGAAATCAAATTAAGATGTTTAGTTTCATCTGTATGGATCTGCTCCCTAAAACCCTGTTCCTTTATTAAGTTTATAAATATGTATGTTGAGAATATACTTGAAACAATTAAGCAGTCCTCTAAGGTCTGCTTCACGACACTGGAATAGGTAGTATAAGTTAGATGTGTCAGTCTGACACATCTGTAGTGAACCTAGACAGAAATCAAAACTATGATTTGGTGCTTTAACACGTTTAAGTATTTTCCTTTTCTTTTTTCTTCTTTAGTTTTTGAGAAAAGTTAAATTTTTGGCTACCAACTCAGAAATGTATGTATTTTAAAACATACACATATATAATTTGAAGTGATTAATTTGAGGTCCTCCATATTTCAGATACTTTGAGATGTAAAAACTAAGCTACACAACTGTCTATGCATCATAAATTGTCTGTTTTTCTTAATTGTTTAAATCTTTATCCAAACCTTAACCAGTTCAGTAGATTTTACACTAAAATGTTGGCCAGCGCTCTCCTGAAATTCCTATTATAGCTGATAAATTATATTGTCTTTCTGCAAATGTGCAACATCAGAACAGTTAACCTTATCAAGTAAGCCATATTAATTTATATGAAGTCATTTCTCTGAAAGACAGCAAAGTGCTGCAGATGAAAAATCTCAAGAGTACACAGTTTCGTAACGTCAAATGCAATTTTAAGTTGGCGTGACAATCACATATTTTAGGATTGCTCAGCATATGAATCTTTGCATATTGCCAGGTCAAAGGCCAGTAATTGTCTGCTACAGACGAATCCTCAGAGCCTCAATTCTGTGATTATTCCCTCGAAGCTCCCAGGAATGACCTACACTGCAGATGAACAGTGTCAGATTCTTTTTGGACCAACCGCTTCCTTCTGCCAAGAAATGCAGGTAAGGGTGAGTGTATACTTCAGAAAATACACCTACCAACTCATTTTTTCTGAGGAATATTTTTGTGCATGTTTTTGAGAGAAAGAGAATATAACATCTTTCAAACGAGAAGTTTATACTTTACTTTCCCAAGTTAATATGAGTATTTTCATTTTTTTATCTTGTTAGTCTTGGTTTGGATCTCCAAACATCCTGAATCGTGTTGTATCATACAATACCACTGGTATCTTCTCTGTACTTTAGAAGAAAATGTCATAGTGTGAAGACACCTTGTGGCAGTTAATGGAGTATTTGCCATTTATTCCACTTGGGACCAGGTTTCACTTGCAGGTTCAGTTTCATTATGATTTGGGTATTGAATTTCCATATCTGACCTATACATACACCTACATACAGTAGCAGAACATATGCTGCCTCCCAGCAGTCCCTTGTGAGCCCAAGCAGAGCCATGCAGTGCTGTGGCAGTACTTAATGAGTTTGCTGACATAGCTTCATGTAATTGCATGAAACAATGTCGCTATATGTTAATATTGAAAAGACAGATTACTAAAATTGAAGAGGTCTTGATAAATTTTAGGCCTAATGCCTGTAGACTTCTGATTGAAGAAGCATTTTGTGAATGGTTTTAACAGAGAAAAATCATCCTCCTTTGATGTCAACAGGACAGGTACTAAATATGTTGGATTCCTCAAGACAAGATACAAGATGGGTAGATGATACTACGAATGTATAAAGAACATGGAATATGAACATGTATGATAATACAGCAACTAGAAGGAAACATGAAACAAAATTTCATCAGAGACAGAGCAGTCAGCCTGGAAATGTCAGGAGTATTTAATATGAAAGCATAATTCCTTACTCCATTAGTTCTTCAGCTCAGTTCTCTTCATTTTTCCCACTTGGGCATAGTACTCTTTTTAGCAAGTTTCAGTGGAAGTAATAATTATCCTAAAGATTCTCAAAGGGAACATTGGAATGCACATATGACTAGTGAATGCATAGTAAAAAAAAACCAAAACAAAAAGAGAACAGGATCTGTAGGTTACTAGGTAGTTATTATTCAAAATAATCTGTTTTACTGAAAACATTTTCACTCTGAAAGATGAGCAATAGAACTTAGTGTAGCGGTTCTACAAATGTTCCTAATTACTTCCAAGTGCTTTTTTCATGAATTACAATGTTTCTTGTTATTCAGTACTTTATTTTCAGTTAAAATATGTTATTTTGGTTTCTCATACTCTAGAAACCTATTTTGAACAAGAAAATGGTACAGGGTTAGCCCGTTACTTCTTACTTACAGGTCTTCTTTACCAGGTAGAAGAGTTTGAAAAGTAATTGAAGAGATACTCAAACCTGGAGACTTGCTGTTGTATAGTATCTTTACATGCTTTTCATTTCTCTGAACACTTCTCCTCCTTTAATACCCTTGTGCTTAGTTCTTATTCAGTCATTTAAATTCAGATAGCCAAGTGGTCTGAGAAAAGAGCAAAGGGAAGAGCCTTCTGCAGTTTCACAAAAATCCTCTGCAAAACTGGTAATCCTGAACTGGAAATCATATAAACAAATACTGAACCACAAAATTATTGTAGTGCATCTTGTAGTCCACAAGCCAGGAAATGAGAAAGAAACACACTCCTAGAAGGTTCATTTAAACTTCAGTAAATCCAACAATTTATAGCCCAGGATTACTTGGATACATTCTACTTGCTGAACAGTTCATTTCAGTGTAACTGTGTGAAGATTATGAAATACGTTTTAGATTTTTTGTGACTGGAAGATATCTGATGAGCAGACTTCCATGCAGTCTTTTACATTAAGCAAGTATGTAGCAGCTTTTCAAGAAAGAAAACAATTGACTAATAATGGAAAATAATTTTCTTAATGATCTAAAAAGAATTACAATAATGTTGTTACTGAGCAACACTTTAGTATCATTTACAGTCAAATTACATGGCAAACTCTTAGAAAGGGTGCACATGCCAATGATTTTCCCTAGTTATCAAGAATTCTTCTTTATAATTTAACGGTTAAAGCAAAGGTCTGAAGGGATCATTAAGGCCCCACTCCTGTATTTTCCTGAGTAAGCGCCTCCCACTTCTCTGTCATGAATAATATCCAAACTTTTTTATTTTTTCCTTTTCATCTTTATTTCAAAGACTTTTTTTTTTTTAATACCCTAAGCAAAATTTATAGAGCCTGAGAAAGTGTGAGTGGATCTTAGAGTGTAAGATTTACACCATGTTGCCATGCTTATCTTGTAAGGGAGCCAAGTTTGCTTTTATGCCCATGATGTCTCACACAAGAATCAATTAGACTCTAACATTGTTTTACATGACAGATAGTGAGATCATGGCCCAGAAGTCATTCTTTATGATTAAATGTGATTGTAGAACCTGACAATTTAATATAATTGTTGAACTATTAGATGTTGGATTTTAAGATTAAAGTCCAGGATGCAAACACTATCTAATCAGTTCCACTAAAATAATTCTTGTCATAACACAGCTGTGATCTTTGCAAAGAAGTAGAAGACTGGTTATATTTCATGGTGATTTTTAAGGCATTTCAGGGAAAGATCACAATGAAAAGAACAAAAGTCACGGCAATATTACAGCCCTGGTAAAATATCTGTCCTCATCTCCACCACCACACTTCAAACAATCTTGACTTCGCACAAATACAGTTCTGAAATGCTCTTTTTGTCTGTGGTCTTTCCTCTCAACTGGACCGTCTTTCCAAATACTTAGATGATTGGAAATGCATCTTTCTGGTGCACACAGACCTGCCTTACTTTTCACATTAATAAAAAAAAAAAAACCTACCCCAAAAGCTGGAATGACTTCTGTAATTTCTGTAGTACGTTGTGACTTTCATGTTGTATTTTACAAGATTTTGCTGTTAAAAATTCATTCTCTAAGGTAAAAAAAAGAAAATTCTTTGTGCTTGGCAATATTGTGTTTTCCAGGGTACACACAATGAAATATTTTACAGATTGTGAATAGTCTAATATTACACACATAAGTTTATCATCTCCAGTAACTCTTACTTCTCTGGCTAGTCTAAAAGACTTCAGTGGCGGTTGAACTATGTTTGTGTTAGGTAAGTGGTAAACCTCTGTGAACATTAATAGCTATTTTGATTTTGACTGAATGAAATTTTGTTCCCAGAGTAAATTTCTTTAGAAGTTTGTGCTCTGATTTTGAAGTGATTGTAATATTGTCACTGGCCTCCAGATTTTCTCTTAGTTTTCATATGTGCATCATGGTTTTTCCCCAGACATATGCAGAAATCCCCAAATTTCAAAAGTTAAATGCTAACAGTAATTCTCATTTCTCTTACCAGTGCAGCAGAAATACAATTTGAAGACTAACTAAAGAGCCTGTTTGTGATTTGACTGAAATGGAAAGCCCAGAAAAAAAACTTAAAAGTCATCCTTCATTTTCTTTGATTTGGGGAATCGCAAAGTCTAGGATGAAATATTATAGTCATATTGAATGCTTATTTTAAAAATTGCTGAAGAGAAGCAGTGGTTTTGGAATACAGTTCACTTAAGGCTCAAAGATGTTTTTAGTTGGGGAAGTTAGGTTCATGGTTCATAAGAAGGTGGTATACAAGTATTTGCAGAAACTTGCAGAGGTATACAAAACACATTAGCAAGTCAAGTGTCTTTACTTGATTTAGTTTACACAGCTCAAATGCATTTGTGTGGTCAGGTACCTACATCCTTGTGAATCTGACTTTATGTTTTCTTAAGTTTAGAAGAATTGTTTCTGGATTTGTAAGGAACTGTAAGTTTGTTGTCAGCTGTTTTGCAATAATATGCAAGTGAAACTGACCACATGACCAATGTGTTTAGGAAAAAGAAAGGATAACATATCTTAAAATGTGATGATGTAAAGGAAAATTTGATTTTATCTTTCGATAACCTGGATGTCTTTCCCTCAAATGGAGTCATTGACGAATGAAGATTTAGGGATATTAAAAAAATATTTTAATTAGAAATATTAAATTAGCATATATTTTTGTGGAGTTGTTCCAACAGTATAGTTTGTCATTTCGTAGCTGTTATGGAAGCACTTTGTCATGAACATCTGATACTTTGTCTCGTTGCCATTGTCTTCAAAACTGGCCCAGAAATTTTGCTAAGTTTAGTTTTCAGCTCTGAAGGTCTATCTTGCATGTTAAAAATAAAACAATAAAAACCCGAAACAATTCTCCCACGAACAAGAATAGAAATTAGAGTTTCATATTTGAAAAATGCTTTTTAAAATAATCCAGGAACAGGATAAGACCTCTGTAGCTATATTGTAGGATATGCATAGGCTATCGGTTGTCTTATTAGTTCAGACCTCTACAATCTTTGACTTTTTTTGAAAGCTGATGCTACAGACGTTTTTACTTGCAAGACTCCCACTGGAACTGTCCTGTTCCCTGGTGTAGGCACAATCTTTTGTTGAAATATGTTTCCTGTGCTGTAAGGCTTTTTTCAAGGTAGCATAAGATTTATCACACATTTTTCATGCATGGTGTAAAAGGCACAGAGACTCTTACTGGGTTTACCAATGAACAAATCATTTCAGCTAGAAAAAGTTCTGGCAACCCTGATTTCAGAAAAACAGTTGATCTTTATGTTATCCTCCCTGCAACCTGTCACCTGATCCTTCTTGCCCCTCTTTGGGAGTACTGTGCGTATTTGTAGGAAATCAGTCTGCACATGCAATAACATTCAGGCTGCAACTAAGCCTCACATTCCCCTGATGCTCTTCCACCCAGTTTACTGTAAAGACAGCAAGGAGAATGATGGTCATGACTGAAAACAATGGGAGAAGGAGGACTTTTTAGAGGAAAATAGGGAAAGCTGCCAAGGAAATTTGGGGTAATGTAAGCCAGCATTCTTCAAGGCTGAGCTTTCTTTTGAGGAACGTGAAACTGTGATGTTTTGATGCTTATGAAGGGAGACAGAATATGCAACATTTCTTTCCACCTCTGAAATTCACCACTGACTACTGCGGTCATCTCCCTTCTCTTTTTCCCAGCAAAAATATTTTGTCCTGATTTGTCAGTTTACTTTGTGTCTTCATTGTGGATATTGGACTTGATTGCCTTCTTGAGGTATTTCTAAAGGAATGAATGAATTCTAGAGAAATCTTTGGAAGAGTATAAGATAGCAGCAATCATTGGAATGGTATGAACAATGGAGACTTGGAAGTCCTAGAGCAGTATGATTAGTAAAAGTCTTAAGCAGAATTTACGCACTTTGAGTTTTGTGTATGTCGAACCCATCTTTAAGCATACTTCAGTACCATCAAACTGTTAACTTTGTGGCAAGTTTAGTAGGTTGCATGCAGAAAGTAGTCTTGTATGACATAGATTTTGTGATTATCTGTGTGTTTGGTTTTCAGCATGTCATTTGCACTGGGTTGTGGTGTAAAGTGGAAAGTGAGAAGGAATGCAAAACTAAACTGGATCCACCAATGGATGGAACAGACTGTGACACCGGAAAGGTATGTTTCTGGTGGAAAAACAATATAAATTATATTGAACACCTAGCAGTTAAGGAAACAAGCTGAATAGGTCTTTGGACTTGTATAAAGTTCTTGCTGCTTACCTCAATTATAATAAAAGTTGAATACATTACATATAAGATATATGTGATATATATTATGCATTATATATTGCATATTACAAATTACATATTGTATAATGTAGATATGATTTAGAAATACATTTCTCTAAAAACAGTGAATAAATAAAAAAGACAAAGCCACAGATGTTTTAATGCTTACATGGTTTTATTTCAAATTTGTTCTGGTGTTTTATCCTATTTATGAATGGAATGCCATTGTTGCACTTCCTACTGTAAGCTGAAACATAAGCTTTCAAAGATACAAAGTTCTCAGCTATGATTTAAAATTTAGAAATTATCTCATCAAAGGAATTGAAACAGAGTGTGTTTATCACAAGTGATAAAACTTTGTAAATCAGTATTTGTAGTGTCAGTGGATGTAAAAAAGTGATAAATGTCATTATAAGTATGCCAAAAGACAAAGCAAATGGTCACCTAAAGTCAGACTTACATGAAATGTCCTTCAAGAGCTTTCCTGTTTGAATAATCTCTGTCATCTGTTTATTTAACTACAAATAAAGATAAATAACCACAAATAGATAATAGAGAGGAGCATGGATATATGTTGTGATTTTCATGATATTGTGCTGACAGCTGTCTCCCACAGGAGTGATTTGCTCTTTGAATTGTATTACATTCACCAGAACTGTCATCATCCCTCTAAAAAAGTAAACAAATCTGTCAACTAAGATAAAATGTTCAGATAATTGAGTTTTCCATACTAAAGGAAAAACAGGGCTTATTCTTTTTCATAGCTTTAAAATAATGACATTTGCTGCCAACTTTTGATTCTGATAAGTGTGTGTAGTTGATATTCTGTCTTGAGCCAATATCTGGAAAGTCAGGGACAAGCCTTCTGTTTGATGTCACAGTCTTTACATTGAGACTAACATCCATGGTATGGAATGAGAAAGCAGTACCTCTTATTAAGACTACTCAAAATTTTCCCTGTGAAACCATTGCCATTATGAACTGTGCACCCAAGATTAGTATGCATTTTGCATATTAATGTCTGACTTGCAAACAGTGGTAATAGTAACTCATTGCAGAGGACTCCTTCTAACTGTATACTTTTGGGAGCATTATGGTAGTGACATGGGCCCTAGGAAGTCCAATGATGAAGGTAGCACTGTTCTCTTTATTGTAGAGCTTAGCTAGCAGGGAGTAAATAATTAAGGCTAAGATAAAGTACTGATTCTTATTCTAAAGGCTCATTATGATTCTATGATTATGTCTAGCATTATGTCTAGCAGTAAAAAGCTAAGCAGACACCACTGAAACATCTCAGCAGGGATTATTCTTCTTGTTTACTGCATTATCTGTCCAAGATGAGCTGCAGATTACACAGATCACTGGATTTGTTTTGGGTTAGTGATATTATAGAGATAGAGTATTGTTGCCTTGTGCTCCTCTTAAGATCTTCTGAATTGAGGGAAATTTCATTTGCACAGCCTGTTCAGCATGGTTGATTTTAAATCAAGGATTTACAAGCATCCCTCAGAGTCTACATAAGGCAGATGCCATCTCTAGGGAAAAAACATGTTGCCTATTACATTGGAAGGAATATCTTTAAATAAATATGAACATTTTTGGTTTCAAACATACAAGAGCATAACAAAATCAGTGATATAATTATGCCATCACTATAATGCGATGTTTTAAGAGAAAAAATTAAGATCAATTGATCAGTGAAGACCAGTTTGAAACTGCAGGTGAAGTTTAAAATATCTAGATAAGGATTTAGCACAATGTAAGTGATGGCAATTCTAAAAATTACAAAAGCCTTTACTGACTGTTTTGGTGGCATGTTTTTGTTTGCTTGAAATACGAGACTTCTTCATGAACTTTATCCATTGATAACAGTAATTCACAAATAATTCAGAGCGCAAAGAGAAATGGGTTAAATTACTGATGTTAATGACATTAAGTGTTCATTGTCTGCTTGTAGCCTTACTGTTTTGCTGAACTTTTGTAATATGTGGGATGGGTATTCAGCTGGTGTAAGTTGTTAAAGTACTAGTTTCTGCAGAGTTTTTACCAGATATAGACATAAGTTCCAGAGCATAATAATATTGATTGGATAATTTTTGAGTGAGAAATTGCCCTTGTCCTAGAAAATAATACATGCTAACAAGATTATTGAGGTGATTATTATGATTTAAATAAATGCCAGAAAGTCTCTTGTCTTTCTCAACACTAGCTTATTAATGCTTTCATTCTCTCTTTGAATACAAGTTGTGAATAAAATATAATTTTCTCTATTACTTGTAGTATCTCCTTCAATTGAAATTGTCACTGGATGATCAGTGACAGTGCAGTTTCTGATAGTTATGTGGGAACTGTAATAGTAGTTCACTGTCAGAGTGAACCAAACATGTCCTGAGAACAGCCCTGAGCACTGTGCTGTGGTCATTTTTATAACTCAGCTAGAGGATGATTCCTGCAGTGGATTTGGGCTAGATCAAAAAGTACTTTCCTAAGCAGTGCCCAGTCTCAAATAAAGGGGATAGCATGGTCTGGGGTCCAGAGAAAGGTCTGTGGCTGTCCTATTTACCAGGATAGAAAAAAAAGTTTTGGGCAACAATAGGAAAAAACATACCTGGCTCATATGAAAACCATATATTGAACAAAATGTTTATGTTATGCTTCCTGTGTGCTTGTGGAGCAGTGAATTGTTTTGCGTATGACTTGATTTATTTACCTAAGAACTGAATTTTCACCTAGTGGTGTAAGGCTGGAGAGTGTATCAACCGGACCTCTTTTGCGGAGCATGTGGAGGGGGAGTGGAGCACCTGGAGCCCTTGTAGCCGTAGTTGCAACACTGGAATCAGCAGTCGACAACGCAAATGCCCTGGGTAAAAACAAATTCAGGTTTCCATTGCTGTCTGTCAGAATTTCCAAACAGAATTTAAATCTTACGAGTAAAGAAACCCACCAAGATACAGTTGTCCTATACATAAATAATTATTTTTTTATAAATACTGAAAACCATTTAGAAGAATAGTCATTTGTTTGGGGTTTTTTTGTTACATGATGAGACTATTTTTCCTCTTTTCTGCGTCTGTCAAAAGCATAGATAATATTAATGGGAAAATGAAGCTTTCTTTTTAAGCTTCACCTGAAAAAACAACAGAAAATTAAATTCATAATTTTTGACTTGCAGAGCTGAGTAATGAATACAAGTGGAGAAGAAAGAAGAGATAAGGGGAGGGCAGAGGAGGCAAAGGAAGAGGAGGGAAGGGGAAGGGAGGAGTAGAACAGAGCAGGGCAAGTCAAGGCAGAGTAGATGACTTAAGATTCCCTTAGTAGAACAAAGGGAAAAATGAAGGAAGAGGAAAGACTAACAGATTTGGGGAAAAAATGATGACAGGAAAGACAGATTAAGAAAGAGAAGTTTTCATAATGAAATGTGAGGAAAACTTGGATATGGCTATACAAAAGCTTAGTAGTCTAACAGAAGCCTTAGATGTGCAGAATGCTTTCATATTTCCTGCCATCTAAACACCCCTTCCAGCTGTATGCCTAAAAGCTACTTCTAGAATTTATGGAGGTCTCACATTTGCTTTCATTCGTTCATTTTTCCAGGCAAAGTTACAAATAATTAGCTCCTGTTTCTGCAGTTCTCTGTTCTTTTGCATTTGTTCATTAGGACCTGCAAGCACAACTGGAGAGACCAAAAAGAAACAAGGCATGTTGTCTGAACTTTGCAACACCACACTTGTCAAAAAGGAGAGGTAGCAAACAAGCAGGTCTTACTTCCTTTCAGTGGCACCTTTGACTCTGTCCAGCTAGAGAAAAATCACCTGAACTATATCAAAACCGCAGTTAAGGTTCTCTTTACTGAATGCTCCTACTAGTCCTAGTGCTTCTTTGGAGCCAAATATAAATTATGGTTTAGCACACACGACTCTTTGTATGTAATGAAACCAGTACAGACAGAAGGCAAACATGCTTTGTTCTGTGACTTTAATTTTTTTGTGGGTGATTTCTTAATGTTGTATGTCAACAAAAAAATTTGCTATTTATATTTGTGTATAGCATAGATAAACTGTGCTGTAAGTTTGACAAAACATTACAAACAATAAAGCATTATATTTATGCCATGTTTTCTAGTTCAGGCCTTGAAGGAGAGTGTCATGGTCCAACCATGCAGTATAGAGTATGTGAAAATCCTTCTTGTCCTGCTGGTGTGCCTGCCTTCAGGGACTGGCAGTGTCAGGCTTTCAGTGCCAGATCTTCCTATCAGAAGCACGTGCACCAGTGGCATGCTGTCATTGATGATGGTAAGTATAAACCATCACCCATGTTCTTATCATCTGCTCAGAGGGCTTGTATCTTGTTGCTATTGTTGATCAAGAAAAGATAAAAACTAAAGCAAGCAAACAAATTAACCCAAGCCCTAGATTTTTGGCAATTTTCATTTCATAGACAAGATCTGGTAGAATTTTTACGTGTTCTGAATATTTCATCTCATATTCCTATTGAATCTGTCCTTGATGTGTAATGACTACATTTGAACTGAAATCCAGTATCAGTTTGGTCCTGTTTAATCAGAAATGTAGTATGATGTGACTCATAAACATAGCTTTCTAGATGAATGCTAAATCATTAAGCTTGCATTAATCAGTTATACTTCTACCTACAAAGCTAGGAAGACAATACGGAAATTGTAAGCTTCTATTTTTGAGGAAGGAGAGAACACATATAGCATAACACTTGAGTAATTCATATATCGGTGTTTGATTTTGACATAAGTCCATATGTAATGCATACTGCAAACTTAGATAAGTTTTCTATAAATCTTAACAGCTACTGTATGCAAAGTCCTGGCATGCTGCATGCGTGCTTCAGTGTAACAAACTTGCTTAGATACCATATCATTAAGAATATGCTCAAGTGGGAGTACAGTGATGTTGAACTTACGGTATCTGCAAAAATAATGTTGGTGTAGAATATCAGCAACTACAAAATAAAACATTATACCCAAATTTTTTGCTAGGAATGTGAACAATTCAGTGCCATTCCACTGAATTTTCTCTAAATTTTTATGTGATTTATTTACTCTAAAAATAAAACCAACTATAACAAGAAAAAGAAAACAAAAACCCAGAAACAAAACAAACATGAAAACATCAGAAGGACTTCAGTTATAAAAACAATTAATTTGAGAAATTAACAAAAGCACAGCAACTGGTGTTAAAGAAGAGCCTGGAATGACACAGGAGTGCTGTAAGTGTGTGTTACCACACATTATTGCCATTTATATTTAACTCTCAAATTATCAGAAACCATTGGAAAGCATAGCTTTTAATAGAATTATTTTCAGAGTCCTGAAAAATGTGAATTCATTATCAAGAGCTTAATATATGTCTAGCTAAACAAGGATTGTTTCTTTTCTTTTACGCCTTTTCTCAAGGTGCGAAGCGAGAACTTTTGAGACTATTTCCATTAGGCTTCTATATTAGCTCATTTAATAGTAAAGAGAGCTCCAGTTTTTTATAGGTGCTTACCTAGTGAAACAGTTTGGGTTCATTTTACTATATTTCATTTTAGCACAGGAACACATGACATATCCTAAGGAATCAAAAATTTTCAGCCCAACTTTGAGAACTTCAGTCATCTGATGGAAAATCTTGACACTCTCCTGACCCATGTTAGGGACTATAGATGGTTGCTTTCATCTAACTTTGCTCTAAGAGATGCTGTTGTCCTGAGTTTGTCCCTCAGCAGACATAAAAGTGGACATCAGCTAAAAAGTTCCAGTATTACAGAAATACGTTGTTCCCAAATCCTTAGTTATTTTTACGTAGTCTTTAGCAGACAGTACTTGTGCACTGGGTCCAGAATAGTTGCTGTACTTGAATGAGGTCTCCTGTAGTCTGTTGAAGTTGTCCTGTGTTGTTGAGTTACTGTCTCTTTGAGTTTAGTGTCCTGAAAATAATGCTTAGGTTTTTAATTTTATATTAAAAATACAAAAATTCCAAAAATGCTTCCAAAAATGCTGAAACATCCTTAAAGGTTCCAGGGAACTTTGGGATTACTATTTAAGGAGTATAACAGGAATGCAGAGGGCACAAAATCAGGCAGAGACTTAGGCCTCTCAGCTGGAGATGGTTTGTGTCTGACTGGCTTCACATATTGGCAAAAGAAATCACATCTGTTTGCACCAGTCCCCTAGAGATACACAGAGGCTGTGTCAATTTTAATGAATTAAATATGCCAAAGAACACTCTGATGTGTAAGTCAGCTGGCACACAAGTCCAGCATCCATACATTTCAACTTTTTTTTTTCTCTAAAAAGGATGGACATCCAAACTGCTTTTTGGAAATGATCCTTTGCAGATGGCAGTTTCCAGTCTAGACCAAGCTAGTGCTAGTTAGCACATGCAAAAAAATGTGGCATAGACTGTTTTACAGTTCAGCTGTATAGACAGTAGAATTCCAGTGCCCATGAATATTTCCTGGAACTGTTTAATTTACTAATAAAAATGTACTCCAGGAATCTAGAAGTCAGTATGAAGTCAGAATGGCATAGATTGCGTCCAAGTGAAATCAGTTTCAAGTTCAGGATTGACTCTATCCTTTCAAAAACCTGCAGCAGATTTAGAAATAACTTCTGAATCTGTACACTTGTCAATAAAGATATGAAAAAGTCATGCCATTTTGTAATCAGTTAACCACTGATAGGAGACCTAGTTAACTTTATTTGGTATTACTTTGGCAGTGGTGAAGCAAACTTTGTTATTTATAAGTGATGAGCATTAGGAATACATGGATACATAGGATATTGTTACTTTTTTACTCCCTTTCAAAATCATAAATTGTTAGCAGAATGTTTTAGAAATGTAGCAGAAAATTGCCTGAACTTGGTAAAGATGTTAGAAAGAATGCTTTCAGTTTTCTATCTCTTTTTTTTAATGTGGACTTTTTAAATCCTTTTATTTTTCTTCCCAGGGTGTCTTAGTTACTTATTTTTTTTTTCTCTTTGACCTGGAGATTTAGAAAATCTGGAAAGTGTTAAGTTTCTTTTTTAACCAATATTCATGATCTTCCAAAAATATAGTAGAATGAAAGTATAGATTACAACCAAAATATTCCAACAGCTGTAATGTGCATATTCTTAATTGCAACAATGAACATGATAGGAGTACTGTATAGGCAAGTTTACAGCACCAGTATGGTCTAGCAGGAAAAAGAACTTGGGTTTTTCAAACAGCTGAGAAAAGGATTAAAATCTTTTTGTTTTCACTGTATCTAAGATAACTTGTTATACTAACCTAAATTTATGCCACACAGATAAGCAAATACCAGTTTTAAAAATAATGTTGATAATAATGTTGATAAGAATAATTCTGTATTTTTTTAAGTGGCCTTTTACCAATTTGGTGTTTTTTTCCATTAATTGCTACCACAGAAAAGCCATGTGCCTTATTCTGTTCACCAGCTGGAAAGGATCAACCCGTTCTTCTAACAGAAAAGGTGATGGATGGGACTTCTTGTGGCCAGCATGGGTTAGATGTTTGTGCAGATGGTAGATGTCAGGTACGTATTACTTGTTTAAAACCTAGATACAGTCTCATGTATGCGAGCGCATGTGTTTGTAACATATATGTGTGATTTCTCTGATAGCATGTTGCAGTATGTGTGACCAAATCTGAATGTCTCTTTTTGTGGCATATTGAAATATTTTAAGCTAATTTCACTCAATGCAACACAGTATGTGAAGCAGCTGACGGGTTAGCTTGGGAAATGTGTATCTGTGATGATAAGGACATCTTAAACTGCTGCAGAGTGGAAAATGAGTATAACTGATTTCATCTTGTAAGGTAAGCCACAACTTTTAAGAGGCTAGGAAATTTTGCCATGGAGTGTACGTATGTATATCTAATTCTGCCCTTTTCAACAGTTCAAAATTTTACATCGAAATAAATACCAAAGAGGCAGGGTAACTGATAATAGTAATAACAAAGTAGCGGATAATTAAAGCTGAGCACTTACGCTGTTTCTCACACTCAGAATTCATTTGGTTCACAGTTCTTTTATTGCTTTTGTAGCGTATTATATGGAAATTCTTCTATATAAAAATCCACAGAGCTTTTCCTTTTCTTTGTCTGCTTCTCACTGCACACATTAAATTCAGTAGAAAAAACAACTTCTAGCACAGAAACAGCATTACTAGATACTGTCATAACTTCAACAAATCACTTTATAGATGCATGCATGCATATAAACAAACAAATACATACGTGTAGGTATAGTTATTCTGTCTTGAGTGACTTAAGTGCATGCAACAAGAATATTTGTAAATACATGTTGATTTGGGGCTCTAGTTCACCATGTAACAATTACGGGTGTAATCAAAAAGATGATGTATAGCCCATTTTTTCTGGGGGTGGGGAAGTTGTTTTTTATCATTCACTTTCACAACTAACTAATAAAAACCAAAAAAAACCAAACCCTTAAACTAAACCCACCCGACTGATACTGAATTGGCTTCTGAGCATACCAGAGGTAAGAGAGATAGATCCTAATCAGATCTGAAAGTCTAATTTCTAAGGCCTTCCACCTTTTACCACATCCTCTTAGACAACCCCTCAAGAAGAATTTTGGGGACTAAAGCTATAGAGTTAGATATGTATATCTTATAGATGTGCCATTTTGGACACACAGCTATTTAAATGTTTATGCTGTAATCAGTATTTTGAAATCTTTATTGCTTTTTATTTTTATCGAACAGTCTTGAAGTTTAATTGGTTTCGTCAGATGCATTTCTACAGTGCACAAGATTACCCTGTGATGACTTCTCTAGACTTAAAACGCTTTTACTTCATATCAGGCCAGCGTGTACTAACTGTATTCCTACTGTCAACCTTCCATTGACATATATTGATAGAAATGTGTCTAATGTAATGATGTGGAGGTGCTTGATTAAATTAAATTTGTTTTAAACTGAATGCTTTTTAACAAAACACAAATACAATTTACATTACATATTCCAATCATGTCTACATTCTATTTGAAATAAGACATTAAGTTGACATTAGACAACACTTTACCACTGTGACCCAGCAATGTACACTTCCAGCCTAGAAGGCCAGTCACATCTTGGTTTGCATCCAAAATAGTGTGGCCAGTAGGTCAAGGGAGGTGATTCTGCCCCTCTACTCTGCTCCTGTGAGACCCCATCTGTAGTACTGGGTCCACCTCTGGAATCCTTAGCACAGGAAATATATGGACCTGCTGCAGAGGGTCCAGAGAAGGGCCACAAAAATGATCAGAAGCATGGAGCGCTTTTCCTATGGAGACAGGCTGAGAGAGTTGGAGTTGTTCAGCCTGGAGAAGACTCCAGGGAGACCTTATTGTGGCTTTTCAGTGTTTAAAAGGGGCCTATAAGAAAGATGGAGAGAGACTTTTCAGCAGGGCATGTTGCAATAGGATGAGGAGTAATGGTTTTAAACTAAAAGAGAGGAGATTCAGGCTGAATGTAAGGAAGAAATTTTTTACATGGCTGGTAAAATAGGGGATACAGCGGCCCTGGAGACATTCATGGCCAGCCTGCATGTGTTTCTGGGCAATCTGATCAAGTGGAACTAGTGATCTGAGCAACCTGATCTGCTCATTGCAGGGGGATTGGACTAGATGGCCTTTGAAGGTCCTTTCCAACCCAAACTATTCTATGATTCGATGAACCTCCCATGTTTTGAGTAGGAAGCAGTAGAGCTGCATATGTTGTAGTCACTGAGCAGGAGGGCTTGTGGAGTGTGTGCTGCCCAGGGTGAGGTGGGAACGTGGTTGTCTTCCTCTTGGAGAACAGCTGATAGAGTTAGGCAACCATATAGGAAGAGGGAATGCAACAATCTACATAAAATCACAGAAAAAATTACAATGACAGGGATCCCTCTATATGAACTAGTGCAACTGTCATTCCGTGCATAGCTAGATCTTGTTGGTTAGGGTGTCTTGCAGAAGGATGAGATGCCCGCTACTAAAGGCAGCTTCATGAAAAACATGGCCTGTGTCTCAACAGCTTTATTTTCTTTTCCCACAGAAATTTGGCTGTGATGGCATATTAGGATCTCTGGCTCGTGAAGACCATTGCGGTGTATGCAATGGTAATGGAAAGTCATGCAAAGTTATTAAAGGTGATTTTAACCATACCAGAGGAGCAGGTAAGTCTGTTTACATCAAATACTCGGGAAGCTAGTAGCTGCTTGATTACTTTGAGCACTGGGAATTTTAAAAAGCTGTACTTTTTAAAATTATGTCATCCTCACAAGAACTTGAGATCCACTTTTTTTGAGATAACAAGACATTTAAGATAAGAATGCATGAGTATTTTTAATTAATTTCTAATTGTTTCAATTATAAAATTAGGGAATTATCTAATTCCTCTTCCAGTACAACATGTTAGTTCATAGAAGAGTCTGAGTTTTAAAAAATCTGTGAAATAAATATACCATAAATTCTTACAGTTTAGATTCATTTAGTTTTCTACAAAATAGATATCTAAACTATGATCTGTTACCTCAAGTAAAGTCATTAAACCAAGCCAGGCAGTTGGAGAACATAAAGCCAAATGTGTGAAGAATTCTTACATATTTTCATTATTTATTGTTTTATACTTACCATACCATAAAAATCAAATAGATTTTCTCATGCATAATGAACATGAGATTTTCAAATACTGCAGTGGTATGTTCTTCCAATGAGCGTAATTGACTGGCACAGTACTATTGACAGAGTAAAGGATTGAAATCCTAATAATGTGGGCCATGCACCATGTATACCTTCTCTCCTAAAAAAGTCTTTTCTTTGAAACAGCATGTGGCCAACTGTTTTCAGAATTTGTTTGCCATTACACTTTCAGTTTCTTGAGTAGAAAATGTGCAGAATTTCAAGACAGTAAATAAATCACATCAAAAAATACTGAGATTAGAGTAAACAGTATAGTTTTAAAAATCAAGGACTTCACTGCATTATAGACTGAAATGTAGTACTTTCTCAAAAAAAAAAAAAAAAAGTTAGGCATAGTCTTCAGACTTTCATCTCTGCCCCTCTCTTAAGCTAAAGGTAATGCAGAGCAGGGATCTCATCATGGAGGACTACAAGATCAAAAGCTATAAAGAAGGTGGCTGCTAGTAGAAATTAAAATATGTCAGCTGTCTTTTGTAGCTAATGTGAATATCCACACACTTTCAAGTTCATTCAGGGTTCTGTGTATTTTCCTTCTTAGGAAGCTGGACTGTCAGCAATACTTAGAAAGCTTTATTAATGCTTGAAGAAATTGAAGATAAAAATGCTTCTTTGCAGCAGTTTAATTTTCATGTTTCAGAAAGGTGTTGTAAGTGCTCAGTACTTTGATATAGAACATTACATAGCTACACAGAATAAAAACTTGGTTTAGTGTCCAATTTCTTAAGTTCTTAAGAGACAAGCTAAAATCGGTTTTTATTTATAACGTTCTTACTTCCACAGTGTTTTTCATCTGTGTTGCCTTTTCACCTCTTTTTCTTAAAGTGAGCTGCTGAACACCAGGTTTTAGTCCAACACTTTCAGAAAGCTATTGTAATGTAAAGCAAATAACTAATAAAGAGACTTAAACATTAAAGCCATTCGTATCAGGATTTGAATGTGCTGAAACTGGAAGAGGGAGATGGAGGAAAAAAGTTGGAATTCCTTTATGGTCATCTGGAGGTGATGGTGACACTAAACTACACGTCCAGAGACAACTTCAGCTGCTCCAGCCCCAGCCTACCCAGCCTCACTAATTCTTGTTACATTTTAGTTTGGTATACTCTTTTAGTTTTATATTATGTTGTATATACTACACATAATGCACAGTTTCATAGCTTGCTTCAGTGTTTTAGAAGAACCCTCAAACTATTGCTATATATAGATTATAACTTGTTACATTTAAAAAAATAATTAGGGGAGAAGAAATGAAAAAATATACAATATTAACTTTTCTACACTCCTTTATTTAACTTGGGACATCTGTTCTCATGCTTAGGTTATGTGGAAGCTTTGGTGATACCTGCAGGAGCAAGGAGAATCAAAGTTGTGGAAGAAAAACCAGCTCGCAGCTATTTAGGTAAATGTCATCTGTTTTGGTATTCATGTCCTGTTATGGACAACACTGAAGAGTGTTAGGTAAAGATGCTTTTATGATTTAAAAAAAAAAAGCAAAACAAACCTGAGTGGAAAAAATGTCTGTGAAATACATGCCTAAAGAAATTTTGTAGAAATAACAAAGTAAAAGAATTACAATGGTTATAGCACCATTCTTCATATAGATTTTGTTTTGAACTTTTGTTTCTTATCATTTTGTTTAGAGAAATGTTTCAAAGAATGTATCAGATAATTTAAGAAAAATTCTGCATACATTTCGATTTTCCATATTGAAAGCACTAGAGAAAATATTTCACATTAAAACTAGTGAAAAGAGTTTTATGCTGAAACATGGAATGATTTGTGCTCAGACAACAAAAAAAGCCCACACTGACCAACATGTAGCGAACCACCAACAAAGTCAAACAAAAGTTGTAAAATCAGATTTTAAAAGCAGAGAAGTATTTCTTTGCATTACTCTGAATTGTCTGACTGTTTTAATGGACAAATTTAATCACAATGAATTTTTATTTTTGGGTGTAGGGGTGTTGGGGTTTTTTTGTTGTGGTGGTTTGTTTTGGTTTTGGAGGTTTTTTTATTTGTTTGGTTTTTGGGGTTTGGGTTGGTTTTTTCAGTTTTACACTTACATGAAATTCTTTTTCATTGAAAAAAGTTTTTTTTCTCCTTTAATGAGTCCTGAAGCTGCTGTGTAGGAGACTATGCTTTGTGACTGTTGTTAACAGTGTGTAAGTGAGTATCTGAAGTATCATAACTGGTGCTGTTCCATGAAATCCTTAAGTTTAAATTGGGAGAGACTTAATATGAGAAATAGAACAATGAAGTGAAGAATTCCCTAGTTTAGTCACTATTCTTAGTTCTGCTCATAAGATCTACATTTAAAGAAACTTTTTTCTCTGAGTGTTCTCAGTTGAGAACAATCAATGGAGAGAATGCAGATGTTCAATCTTAATTATGACAGTCTAAGTTATTAATGGGTGACTCTTGGTTTATCATGGGGTCTGCATCTGTTGTGTTAAGATAGAACAGGAGATTTAGAGATCTCAGTTATCTCATTGCTCTCCAGTGGACCACAAATGTGGATATGTAAGAGTGTCCAATCAATAATTGAAGTTTCATTGGCATATATTCTATATTTTCCAAGTTGGGGTTTTTTTGTTGGTGGTTGTTGTTTTTTTTCCCCTTTGTGTCTACCATCTTAACATGTGGACAAAAGAAATACTATTGTACTATTGGTTTTAGTTGTTTTTTTTATTATTTTTTTTTTAATAATGCAAAAGTCAATAACTGTTGGAATTGTATTTAGGGAAATCAATTCCTTTTTTATGAGTAGCGAATTGATTCATCCCTTACCTTAAAAAAGGGAAAAATAATATAATACTTTTTGCACTTACGAAATAATGTCCGTCCTGCTGCCTATTTTTGAAAGCTGCTAATTAGCTTTTAATTGCTTGTTACTTCAATTTTACTTTTACTAATTTCACTGTTAGTCTGAATGAGGATCAGACATTATTTCACTGCAATATTTTTATGTTAAGCTTTTTGGGGGAACCAGAAATAGGTCTGTTACAGTATTTTTAATTAAAACCTGTGTTGTTGCACTTTCTTTTCTTTTTCTTTTACTAGCAGAAGGTATTTAAGCTTTCTTCACTTTTAGGAGATGTATTCTGAAAGCGTAACACTCTGAACTGAAAATGAGTAACATTTTAAATGGGAATATTTTCATAGGATGAAAGTTTTGGGGAGAAAGCATATATATTTCGTCTTAAAAACAATATTCTTTGAAATACTGCGATTAAAATTGTGAAATGTAATATAGATTAAATTCATGTTTCTGATTTGTTTTCTCTTACGGTTCTCTATGCTAATTTTGTGTTGCATAGTACTTTGCTCTCTGCATTTCTGTACCTTCTAGTCAAACTAAAGTGCAAGGAAATGCATAGACAGTGGAACCAGGGACATATATATCGGGAAATACATAAGGATGCTGCTCAGATATGTATGGATGGGATTGGGAAAGCTAGAGCACAGTTGGAGCTGAGTTTGGCAAGGAATGCAAATAATTAGGGCTTCTGCAGGTATGTTAGAAAAGGAAGATTAAAGAAAATGTACACACATGCACACAAACACACACACTGATAAATAAGAGGAGAACTAATAACAACAAACATGGAGAAGACCGAGGTACTTAATAGTTTTTTGCCTCAGTTTTAATCATGAACACTCCTCCTACATCTTTCAGCTCCCTGAACTTAAAGGCAGGGACTAGTGGAATTAAGTTCCTTCTATCATAGGTCAGGTTCAAGAACACCTGAGGAACCTGAACATACAGAATTATATGGGACTCAATGAATGCATCACAAGGCCCTGAGGGAACTGGTTGATGTAGTTGCCAAGCCACTCTCAAGCATATTTAAAAAGTCATGACAGTCAGGTGAAAGCCTCAGTGACTGGAGAAAAAAGAACGTTGCACCCTTTTAAAAAGTGTAATAAGGAGGATCCTGGGAATTACTGACCTGTCAGCATTAACTCAATTGAAATTTTCAAAAAGTTATTCAAATCTCAAGACTTAAGGTTTTTAAGATGGCTTTGAAGGGAACACATGATAGCCTGAACAGAAGCAAAGCAATGATGTCATTGACAAAAGATACCAGTGAAAGTACTCTCATTTATGGTTGAGTTTCAGATATTTTTTGTATTTTCCTGAGGAAACTAAGAGTCAGTCAAAATTACATTCTCTTGGCACTTTTCTGAAAAGCATGACTAAATTTTGCACAGAACAAAAGGTAAAATTCACAATTCAGAAAGATGTCAACTTCCCTTTTATTTTGGTGCAAATACCTTTTTTCTTAACCTGTCTGTAAAGTGTATCCCTTGTGCAGTAATTAAAAATACATTGCACTCACCACCACCACTTGTCACTGTGATGATTTCTGTTTTACGCTCTGCAGAGATACACTTTTAATTAGCAGCCTTATTCTAGCACTGAAATTTTGGTCTTGGTTACGGATGAATTAAGTTTTCACAGGCTGTTTTCTTTGTCTTTTTAGTTGTAGATGTATTGCTAGGTTTGTTTTATAGCCTTAGAGAGAATATACTTGTGCTCTGAATTTTCTTCCTGTATGTCATTACTTTGTACAGAAAAACCCCCTCTATCAAAAGCTAAGTAGATTGGAAGTATGTGTGTGTGTTGGAGTAAAACTCAATGAATTTGCTTACAATACGGAGTATGACAGAGTCAAGAGCGAAGCTGAACTGCCTGAATTCAGTCCTGAATTTTATGCTTGAGGGTACCCTTTCTTACTTTGTCTAACCATAGTAGCTCAAGTGAGGAATCTGAAAGCAGAAAATGCAAGATCTGGCATACTTTTTGTATTCTGGGGCTGGAATTCCAGTGCCCTTCACAAGTTACTGTGCTGTAGCATGCATGTTCTTTTTAAAGACAAGACAAAATGATGCAAGGTCTGCTCCTCTCAAGAGAGAGAATGCTGCTCCATCTGAACACCATGACCCAACTGGACCTTGGTGTTTTCAAGTACATTTGTTTTGGGAAGAGGATTGGCTCTACAGTTTAAACACTAAATAGAACTTAATTACCATTAATAGCAGAATGGCTAAATCTAAAATACCAATTTTTAAATCTTGTAAAATCACGAGTTATTTTTAGTACAGAGCTGTTCTACAGCATTAATGGATTTTATAGTCTTAACATTTCTAGCACAGTGCTGCAGTGGTACACATAAGTGGTGTCTTATGCAACTGGGTTTCTGCCAGTCCGTAGACCTGTTGCCGTTGTTTCCCATAGATACAAAACATAACAGTATAAATATGAATAGGAGAGAAGATGATTATAGGAGTGACTCACATTAACTTACAACTGTAAAAAAGAAATTTTGGGCAAGGCTTAAACTGTTGAGGTTCTCTTACAAAGGTCTGATGCCAAACATGCAATTTCAGTGAAGAGGAATGTGTAAAATATCTTGTCCAGAAGGTGACTTCAAATATATTCTACTTCACGTGACTATTCAGACCTGATCTGTACAAAGTAAAATTAAATAAAATTACAAGTTCTTCACAGAAGAATCTATTTCATTTACTATAGAAAACTAATGTAAAAGCCTATGTTCTCAGTGTATGAATTAGATTTTACCTGACTTGATGATGCTTTTGAATATAAATTAAGCCAACAAGAAGAATGATCAGCCAAAAAGAACAAGATTTTTCCTGTTTGTTAGAAGCATCAAATTATGTTGTGAAAGTGTTTAAAATAAGTGTAGATGACAGTAGTATTGTCAAATTTGAAGGCGGAGAAAAAGGCACTAATGTAATATAACTAATGTAAAATAACTAATGCACTTATTAGAGCGGAAAGAATTCTCAACAAGAATTTCTTTGAAGATTTAGCCTAATTCCACAGATCTTGAATGGTGTTTTGTGAAAATTTTGTTTCCCATGACTTTATGATTATAGAAATGACCACCCTGGGAATAGAGAATGGTTACCTTTGCCTTAAATAAATTCCATGATCAAGTTATGAAATATGCTGGAGCCTGTCAGTCTCTTCAGGCATTAAAGCACTGATGTTAACTTCAAGTAATGTTGAACACACATAGTTTTGCCAAGCATTCCTTCCAGAAAGTGTTTCTAAAGCATGTTCCAGTTGAAGTTCATGTATAGCGGGATCCATAAATATCTTTGCAAACAGTTAGATGATTTCACCTACTTTCAGGTTATCCAAACAGGAAGTGAAAGGAGGTCCAAATCACTACTGAAGAGACACATATTATATTGGGCTTTTTTCATATATTTTGCAGCTCTTCGAGATGCTGGAAAACAGTCAATCAATAGTGACTGGAAGATAGAGCATTCAGGGACATTCAATATTGCTGGGACGACTGTCCATTATGTTCGGAGAGGTCTCTGGGAGAAAATATCAGCCAAAGGTCCCACAACATCACCTTTGCATTTACTGGTATGACAATATGGATTGGGGTTTTGTACCCAATTCTTATTATATAGCATGGTAACTAAATTTTTTTTCAATCTCCTGGAGATAATGAGATCTGTGTATGCTTGTGTACATGTGTACACCTGCTTATATATATAGATCTGTTAACTTACTTCCTAAAAATTGCATTTAATTCCAAGAATAATCCTTGCATTGTTGAGGCAGATTGGAAGGTCTCAGTCTTCCTACAAATGTCATAAAAAGCTGATGTGCTTAAGGAGAGAGATTCAAATTAATATCGCATGGTTTTCATCCTGGCTCACTATTGCACAGCATTGCCATTTCTGGATTGCAATCACCAAGTTCTCCATGAAAAAGTAGGGGTCTGATGCATTTCAGTGTAGAGGATGAAGAGTTGGTAGCCACCAGAAAGAAAGAGGGAGACATGATGAGGAAGTGTTTCACAATTCAAAATCCTTCAAATGCAGCAAGTTGACTGGTATATCTGAAAGAGTTTTAAATGTGATGCTTCTAAGAAAGGTCTCCTCTATTTAAGAGCACTGAAATCACAAGACATAATTGTCCTCCAGATATCTGGTGAATTTTGTTTGCTCGTTTGTTTTTTGACCTTTACATTAAGTTAAATAATTTTTTCCCATTGTCTGGCTTTGGATACTCTCATTAATTTCTTCTATGAAATCCATTAGGAGATCTAAAAGCATTAAGTCATTCTATCACGTTTTTCAAGATTATCTCCTCATAGTTCAGAGTTTGAATTCCACAGTGTCTATGTACATAGGTAGGGTTTCCTTTTCTGTATCTTGCAGGTGCTGCTCTTCCATGACCAGAGCTATGGTCTACACTATGAGTACACAATCCCACTGGATCCTCTTCCTGAGAATCAGAGCTCTAAAGTACCAGAGCCTCTTTTCATGTGGACTCATTCTGGTTGGGAGGACTGTGATGCTGTGTGTGGCGGAGGTAAAATAAAAGAAAAAATGTACAAACACACACATATATATAAAAAATTAAAAATGTAAAATGTATATGTATAAACAATGTGCATGTATATACACAATGTATATACATGTGTGTATACAGTATGCATATGTAAATGTATGTATACTCTGTGTGTATACAAGTATCTCTTAATTAAAACACATTGCATATTAATACTTAAGGCTCTGATGGCCAGTGTTGTATGTTTCATAGAAATATCTTTATTGTGGCTTGTATGATTCCATACAATGGTGAACATACTTCAGTCTCATGCCTCCTGTTTATATTAAAAAAATAATGACAACCCTAGGAAAAGATTCAAACTAAATAAAGTAAGTAGAAAAAGATGCTAGTGAAGGAACAAAATCTAGATCAGCAAAGCAAATTCAGGGGACAGTTTCCAAGAAGAAATACAAGTGCAAAAGCTAGAACAAGAAAAGAAAGTTCATATGCATTCCTCTCTGTATTTGGAACTTTTGAAGATAAATGATCTGTAAAAGACATTTCAAACTACAGAAAAGCTCAACCCAGTCTCAGATCAAATATGTACAGTTAGTAACATGAGTTGAAGATGATCCAGAAACATATGGAACAAATATTACAACAGCAGATATTAGTATGCTGATGTGATATTTTTCCTATGTTTATGTTTATAACCATAAAAAATGTGATTTTGGAAGAACAGAATACGGTTATAAAAACAAATATTGGAACATGAATAGTACTGCTGTAACAATATCCTTTAAAAGTGCTGTTTAGAAAATGGTTATTCAAATACATAATTGCACTGAAAAAACACTTCAGAGTGCAGTCTTTACAGATCTCTTCACACCTTGTGCAGTCAGTCACACACTGTGAATACTGTATTGATT